GGTCGTCTGGACAGGAAGATCGAGTTCCCGTTGCCCGACCGCAGGCAGAAGCGTCTCATTTTCTCCACCATCACCAGTAAAATGAACCTGTCAGAGGAGGTCGACCTGGAGGACTGTATCCTTTTGGCCCTTAAGCTTCTCTGCAGCGTTCACCACAGCACGTAGTAACTGTCTCACTTCAGGTTTTCTCATTTAAACGGTTCACTGTGAGTTTCTACATTGTTGGGTTTCGTTTTGGACTCTGGGCTGTTGACTTCTTTGGCTGGAGGTTTTATTGTGTTCAGTCTGCGAGTCCTTCCATCTGCTTTTACTTTTCCATGTCTGTCCTCCACATTATTCACTTGGATTCAGGGCCGAACTGGCTTCGACACTCGCGTTTGGCATAAAACACACCAACGGCTTGCTTTGCATTGTAAAGTGTTAGAGATGAAAATGTGCTCCCTGCGTACTGTTTACATCGCACCTCCTCCATAGACACCTCAACACTGCTGATTCATTGAATGCTGTTTTTGTTGATTCGGCCTTCACTGACACACAGATGTGGCCCGACCAGACAAGATCTCTGGAGCTGACATCAACTCCATCTGCCAGGAGGTGAGCTATGCGCTACACCTACTTGTTTACACTTTTTTAAATAATGTATCCATTAAGTATGAGTTATTAATGCTAATGTTTTAAATACAGTTTGGAGACGTCTGCTGTGAGCTGAATGTTACTTCTATCAGCCAGTTTTAAATGTAGAAGCTTTTTTGAGCCGTTCGCTCCACGTGTTTAAATTTGGGAGAGTTTTCCGTCCGATGCTTTTCCTGACGCCACCTAAAGGGGGTTTGTGTCACCAGCTGTAACTGAATCTGCGACCTTTTGTTGACGACCTCTTCCTGAAAGCGTCAATTTCAATTTAAAGCTACAAGATCATAAAACGAGCGCCAAACGTGGCCAAAAACCACCTGTGTGAGATTTTGTGTTTATTCTGGGAACTTTAAGTTAGACTTATAATGGTTTTAACCTTATTTACTTTCATTAATAAGATAAAACTGATTACTTTTCTGCTTGTCTTGTCTCAGGCCGGCATGTTGGCAGTGCGAGAGAACAGGTACATCGTCCTCGCCAAAGATTTTGAGAAAGCCTACAAAACGGTCATCAAAAAGGACGAGCAGGAGCACGAGTTCTACAAGTAGACGGAAAAGATCATCGGGAAGAATAAAGAAGATTTCCAGACACACGTCTGTTATTGATTTCCGTCTGTGTCTGTAACTACGGCGAGTCTTTTGTGAATTCACGACCTGCGTTGATTTTTGGACTAAATTTACTCACTGTGGCGCTCGTGGCCTCACGTCAGCCCCGTGTCACACCACCATGTGAAGTAGTGCGTTTTCCTACATGCGCTCCTCTGGTTCCTGAAACATCTGGCCCTGACTGTAGCTAGGATAGAGCATTTGTATCTGTGTGTAGTCTGAATAACCCGAGAAATACATTAAAGATGTTTTCCATAAAAACAGGAAATGATGGTGATTGTTTTTCTACTTCTGGCTGAGCCATTAGAGCAGCAACAAATGTTTGTTATTCAATGGAGAATATTAAGCGGGAGGTCACTTTAATTGATTTAAACGCAGTCTCGCATATTTTAGAGCGGACCTTAGAGCCACGGCAGTTTTAGATGCTTCGATGTTGACTTCATTTTTCAGACCCAGCAGTCGCTGCGTTGTCACCACTCCGGATCAGCACCAGCCTTTTCATTTCATCTTTGTGGCACTGAAGCACCCGTTTAGACCTGATACTCACTCTCTGGGTGGAACTTGGCTTCATCGATGGGGATCAAACAACACAAAAGTTACCTGTTCTTTAACGGCGTCATTAATGGCTGAAGTAATATCAGATAAAATAGATACATTTATTAATCAACAGTGGGAGCCATACATGAGATAAATGTAGTCCCGTGTGGATAAACTGCTGCCGTTTTTTGGCTTCTGGAGTTGACAGAGTCGACTCAGATGGATGCCGGTGCTGGGCCGAGCTTCTCC